ACTGCAAGTACTAAGGCTGGGGAGGTGAAGTCATCCCTGTCATTTGAAGAGAGAAGACAAGAGGCTTTCCCTGGGCCTCACTGGTCTCTGGGGTTGGCTTGTGAGGACACAGGGCTGTTCTCTGCCTGTGCTGTTCACACCAGTGAAAAACTAAAAGGCAAAGGAGCTACTGGATCCTGAGGGAAGCCAATGAGTGCCCTGGGGCTATGCAGTTGCCCCGTATGTCTCCAGAAGACTGCCACTGCCTTGGAAATGTGAGGGACACACAACATTCACACCAGGCCAAGACTGTGCTACGGCTCTGAGGTTTGCAATTTGAAGCTACAAAGTTTTCGTAGGTTGCTTTCTAGTGGTTAAAAAGTTGCACCTCCATTTTCTAAAGTGATATCAATAAGAAAAGGTCATTGAAAAAATGAAATTATGTGAAAGAATTAACTGTAATGCATAGTCTGTGCAGCTAATTTTAAGCCAGTCCTGTACTCAGCAGAATCATTAATCGATTCGTTCAATTAATAAGTTGGTACCAGAACATGAGGCAGTTTGCTTAAGCTGGCTTGAAAAAATATTTTGACCAAGTCAAATAGATCTTTTGCTAAATTTCAGACTATATTAAAAATCCTGAAAATTATACATTGAAATTTCAATTTGATAAGAGAAAATAATTGCTGTTCTATCAATAAGCGAGAGGCAGGATTCACAAAGATGTATTCCATAATAATTCAAGCCTTTTAAAATTCTTTTTCCAGGAAACAGCAGCAAGCAGATGAGCTGCTCTTCTGCATGAATATCTTCTGATTTAAAACTGGTATGACACTCTTTAAAATAATTGAAAGAATTACATACAATTAGTGAAGTAGCTGTGCCTAAGGGACAGATACTGGCTCTTCACCTGCTGTGAACACTACCTAAAGCCCAATTTTCTGTTAATTTTTTTTTTAAGGAGTAGAGCATTCTATATATGGCAACAAATTAAATATTTAAAAACAATAATCACTAGCACAAGAAGGGCATCTTTCAATGCCCGTATGGGCCAGTGGGAAACCGAAATTGAGAGTTTAGAATTCTGATTTCCAGAGACACAGGACTGCAGGAAAGAACAGATGGTCTACGGACGGAGAGGATTCTAAGGAATATAAATTTTGGCATGACATATAAGGTCTGCATGTTGGAATGGTAAGTAGTATACAGAAAGCAAATTCATCAACGTCACCAGTGAAAATAATGCATGGCCAGGCACGGAACATTCCAGGTTAGCCATGGTGGGCAAATCCACTTCTAACAACAGGACACAGATTCCTGACACCTGTATCTAATAATGTTACAAACTGCCGTTCCCACTGGGTGACAGAGGTGCACACCTTTCACCAGTGCTGATCCTCATATGGATCCTCATAATCCTCCATCTGCAACTAGTAAGCAGCTATTTTACAGACATCAATGCAGCCTAATAAATCTAATCCAATTTTTTAAAAAATCCAATTCAAATTTAAATCTGCTTGTAAGATACACACCACATATGAAATCCATGTACTGACAACAGCAGGTAGCTTGAGCACAGGATCTGTTTTAGTTACCCATGGGTTAACATAACCTAGCCAGCTTAACTTTTCTCCATCTTGCTTTCTTCATTTGTTAAATAGATAAGAGCCAATTAGTTATAAGCTATAATGAGGATCCAACCAGGTAACTGTCATGACACATCTGGCATGCCACAGCTACTACATAAACATTAAGTAGATGAACCATAAGGTCATCTGCATTTCTGTTGTGAAGTCAAAGAGACAACAAAAATCTCCGGGAGTCAGGAAACCTAGTGGATTGAGTTCGGAAAAACTTACCATTTTAGGAGTTCTCATCCTCTGTCACCCTGTTTTCCACTGGGTGTGCTACATTACCTCTGAGCTTCTTTCTACTTTATCTGATTGCAGAAATTTTTTTTTTTAAATGAGTCTCCTTTTTAACACTATTTCAAAAGAACATTCTTTTGTTTGAACTTTCTGAAATTAAGGTTCATCTGGAAGCATATGCCCTAGGGAATCACCCAGCTATTTGTGTTTTTGCTTTCACTTCAGACATAAATTTGATAGTTGCTGACCAAATATTGAATTTTTTCAAAGAGATCAATCATATAGATTACAGTTTCCACATCATGGAAGGTAATCCTTAAACCCAATTAATACAAATGTCTACACCTAACTTAATGTCCATAAACCTTCCCAAGTATATTTACAGCTATTGGTGCTCTAAGAGAGTTAACACTGAAATGGAACTGAATTTTAGACTGGGGAGAAATGAAAAGAAGACAGGGAGATTAGAAATCCAAGGACAGGGAAAAAAAGAGGCACCCAAAAGCTTTATTAAGTTTGCTAAAGAATTGTTCCAAAATGTTTAGTAGATGTCATAAAAATTCCAGACAAAAAGTGACAGGTTCAGTCCCTAAATTAGTAAACAAAAGGATGGTGACATGGCAGGTCCGCTAGCTATGGGCTGCCTCAGGAGAGATCTTTTGGCTGTAAGCAAACATTTCGGCTAACAGCGAAAGCACAGCCTTTCCCCATCAGTTACTCCCAACTGTTTTCTGTCTGTGGTACAATTTCTACCTGTCTGCGACTTGGAGTTACACGTGGGAAAGGTCACAGGTGCACAGACACTCATGATTATGCTACTCTTCTACATAACAGTTAATCTTGCATCCTAACTTCCTGGATCACCTGGAATGGAAAAGTATCTGAGGAAACTTCATGCTCTTATTTAGAAAACCACTCAAAATGTCTCCCTGAGAGAGATTTGGACTGTGAATTTGAAATATCTGGTAATAGATGTCATAGAGCAACAGTAATGATTATGGCAAGTGGCAGGGTAGCTTCTTTTAAAAGCCCCAATCTAATGCTCTACCTCTTCCAAATCAGCTGTGAGCTTCTGTTGCTGGTTTAGAATAAGATGCTGAAAGCTCAGAAAACAGATTTCCTTCAAGAGACTGATGCTCAGGCTTAAGGTGGTGGCTGACTCTACAGGAAATTATTATAGCGCAAAATCGACTAACATCTTTTATACAAAAACAACCCTTCACTAAACTAATAGGAAATTTAACTCACCATTTCTACCATGTGACAACTTAATAGCTGAGCCAGGACAATGCTTATAGGAAAAAAGTTCTATATTCACTCCAATAATTCCTGTGCTAACATCCGTTTCTGTTTTATGGAGGACTGTGTCTTGTTCCCATCCCTGACTCAACATCCACAGTTGCCAGGCACCCAGGACTTCAGCAGGGGCACCTCTCAGCAAAGGCCCTTGCTGCTACTGCCCGAACACCTGTGAATGGCCACCCTTCTGATCCGAGCTGTCCTGGGGGTCCGGCAAAGGGTCTGCCTCTGTTCATGCCTTTATAATTCCATGAGTGTCTCTGCAAAATGAAAGCCACTCTGCTGAGAAGCACAACTTGGTTCTACCAGGCCCTGCACCTCTCCTCCACTGCGACTCCACCAGCTTTCCTTACTTACAGAGAACCACCTCTCCTTCCCTCTTGCAAAACAAAACCCAATCAATCAAACAAGCAAAACTACTCACAAGCGAAGCTTTAAGCCAAGAGGCCATAGGTCAGCAAGGCTTTCAAATCTCCACTTCCTTACCCCAAGCTGCATCACCTATAAACCTGAGAAAAACCTAGCTTTCATTCACGTTTCCTTTAACCCTTTCTAATTCACACAATACCACAGGGTTCTGGTAAGAACCATAACACAGAGGAAACAAATTTATAATTCAGATCTATTTCTCAATGAGTTTTTGAAGGGTCGTCTCACAGCTCCCTGTGAAAACATACTGACCGATGCCTCAAAACGTAAGCAAATTTATACTATTCGTTCAACATACATTTTACACTGTCCTCACAAACAAGGTTTTAAAGTCTTCCATTAGATCAAACATATTTGTGGATTTATATAGTGACATAGAAATTGGGTCATATTTTAGGCTTTCTTTGCTATTCTCCCTGTACTTGCCAGGCTTGCTATGAAGAGCACTAGATTATTTTATTCATAGGGTTTAAGAAAATCATTAACAGTGGTTTATAAATGAGGAAACATTAATGTATTACATTCTTTCAGGCTGGAAAAATACTACTGGCCATATTAGATCCTTTGCTTTGCAATTCAAAAACAAGCATTGTCCCTTAACAATGACTGCATGTAAAAATTCCAAAAGTCAGAAACCCATGGAGAAACACTGGGCAGATGAATAACCCAAAGTGACTTTTACCACTGCCTTTTCAGATTAGAAGGAGTTACCAAACTAAGTATTTTGGCCAAACATAAACATACTGAAGAGAGGATAAACACACACACACATAACTTTTCTGATAATGAAATGAGAACTGGCAATACATATAATGTAAATTTTAAAGGAATTGATACACAATTGTCCCTGTAGGAAAAAAAAAAGCTATGGAAATGCTCTGGCTTTCTGGCCAGACCTAAGTACTACACGAGAGTTAGCAAATGGGTAAGGGATGAAGACCAAAGATCAGGGAAAACCATATTGTGGATTCCAGCATCACAAGCACAAGTGAAGTGAATGAAAAAGAACCTCATATAAACAGGAAAGCCAAATGTAAAGGTCTGCCAAGAAACTGTAACAAAGGAGGGAAAGCTGACAGACTTGAAGACATAGTCACCCACACACTTGAGACAAACTGCAACCTAGATGGTAATGGCTGATTTACAGTATCATTTGAGGATATTTTTCCTATCATCAAGGATCTTAACAAGTAATATACTCTGTTTCTTGAATTTTTTTTCCTTCCCACAATGGCTTCAGGCCATAAGAGGGCTGAGCAAATGTGACCGCCTGAAGTCATGATTAGCTGCCTCAGCAATAGATTCAGACAGAATTATGTGCAGGAAAGCTTCCTTTAGTCTGATTTCAAAGGGTGAAGATTTTTCAGAACACAATGGGGCAGTGCAGTGGATGGCACACCAGGGCCACCAGAGGCCGTATCTTACCATACACGTATCCAGGTCTTCTAAACGCTCTACTTCTGTCAGCTCCTCCACGGTGAGGAGGGAGCGCTTTGCTGGCTTCTCCTCAGCCAGCTCGATGTCCAGGGAGTCCTGCTGAGGAAGGGTCTTGCCACGTCTGCTGAAGTGCTCAGCCTGAGGGTTCAGATGCCACAGGAGCAATAAAGGAGTCAGGACGGAGCTGGCAGGCAGCCCTGAAGATGTCCTTCCCAAGATGGCAGTCAGCGGCCACTCAGGAATCCCCAACAGAGCCACAAAACTCTTCTGTTACCTATCTGTAATCTTAAGAGAAATTACAAACCTCCCTCCATCAATGAGGAGACCACTTAGTCTAGAATAAAATAAGAGTATTCTTTTCATTAATTTTACTTGACAGCAATCTTTCTATATCTAGTGCTTTCAAAAGTTACCTCATCCCAGTTTTTCCTTCCCATTGAACAATTTCTTTCCCCTTTACCATATTATGCCCTTTAGATTTTCATTACTCTTTCAGGTCCTCACACTAGTGAAATAACATGATGTCTGCACACGTGGATCTGATTTATTTCACTTACCAATATAGTCTCTAGCTGCTTCCATTTGTTTTTTCTTTAAACAAATTTTACACATTTATATGTGGTAATCTCAACAACCAATAGCATCAAGTAATACAGCAACTATTGCTGAATTCCATTACTCTGTTTGGAGAAATCTTCTATCGTTTCTAATGCTGTTTTGTTTTTCCTATCACTACTTTGTAGTCTTTAAAAATAAAAAGTTAGCTGAGAGCAATAAAATGATCCCAACTTTTATTATTTTAAAACAATGAAAGAAATCACCAGAAAGAATTCAGTGATGGTTAGCTAGCTGACATTGTTTTCATGGAAGGAACAGCACATTTGATATGACTTCCTATAACCACTGCTATATTTTAGGTAAACAAAAAGTCAAATGGTGAGCACAGAATCAATGGGGCTGAAATGCAAAATCTTGTGTTGGGCTGATTTCATATCAGAAACCGTGACTGAATTTTTTTTTTTTTTGAAAAACTGAGGAGCAGTTGACAAGTCTGTGACAGCTTTGATAATGCTTCTACAAGGTTAAAAAAAAATCCAAGTCTCAAAAAAAAGTTTCATTTTCTGAGACACCATTTCATATAATATCTCATTTCCTTTTATAATTTCAAACTAACATATTGATATGAAAATGATGTTCAAAACAATAGAAGAGTGTATTCACATACAGTTCCTTTTCACTGATAAAAGGACATGTCAATGCTATGTAACAGGGGAGGAAGTCAAACATTCTGGGTAGTTTTCACATGCTGTCTCACTGATCAAACATCCCATGTCAGTGTCACTTGGGAAGGGTGACTAGCCAGTCACTAGCCAATTCGTAAATCGGCACAAACTGACATCGTGATTACACACAATGACAAAATTTTAGACAAATGACTTGTGTTTGGCTATCGTCACATCTTGAAACTGTCCCACTGCCTCCTGTTGGATCCTGAACGGCTGAGTGTTGTGACTGGCGACCACTCCTCAGTGGGCACTTCCGGCCCCAGGCAGGACTCTGAGCAGTGCTGCTAGAGATGTTGATCTATTGAAGTTTACAAGACAGTCGTACACACCGTTCTCATGTGTCTGCTTCACAGGTGTTCTTCTCATGTTACATTCTCTCTTCTCACCCCAAATCCAATGCCATAAAATAGAGCCTCTTAATCCTACAGTAAATCTGAAATTCTCCCTCTGGAGTGACACACATGGTAACATTTTTGAAACCTGAGATATAACCATTGGGGGGGGGGGTTCTTGTATTTTAGTACAAGGTCTACAGGGTTTCACTACATAGATCAGACTCGTAGAGATTCTCCTGTTTTCAGCCTCCAAGTGCTGCAATTACAAGTGTGAGCCACAATGCCCAGGCTCAGTCCCCGGCTCACTGCGCCCTGGGGGTGGGGCTGGCACAGCAGGCCAGGGATCGAACCCCAGCCCCTGTGAATGCCTAAGCAGATGTTTTAATCCATTGAGCTATCTGGCCTGTCCCTACAACAGTTTTAAAACTATCTATGCCTCAAAGGAGAATTTCAACTTCAAGAAATATATAGCTTCTATTTTTAATCTGCACTGAATCTGAAAGGAAAAGTCCCCTCCACCTTGGGATAGGGCCAGCCCAGAGGAGGGAGCTTCTCCGTGCTTCTGTCGGATGCCCGAGCGTGCAACCGGCAGCCATCCACCCTACAGCACACCCATTCTCCTCTTGTGCTTTCTCTGAACTCCAAACATTTCATTTGCCTCTGATCTTGGCAGAGCCACAAAGTCTGCATCAATAAATTACATTAAAAGTTATACTAAAACTTTAATTTTAAGCCCTCAGACTCAATATCGCTGCTCACCACAATGTTAGGCTTGCACTGTAAGGGAATGGGATCTCTGGGAAGTGGGGATGTCCACTTCCCCTGTCATTCCCTCTGGAGAAATCTGAGCATGATCCAGAACGGCTAGCAGCAACATAGAAAACCAGAGTCTTCACCGATGCAGCTACAAAGGGACGACAGGTAGCACATGAACTGCACCTCCAGCGCAAGGCCACCTTTTGTCACGGTGCAGCCAAGACAGGAGGCCTTGCTCAGAATGGGGGCGGCACTCACCAGCTTATGGTGGCAGTGTGAGAGGGCATCCAGGATCTCATCCACAATCCGGTCAGACAAGAAGGAGGCCACCGTCAGCTTCACTTCGCTGTGTGAAAACCCCAAGGACAGAGCCGTGTTGGAATTTGTGCAAGGGAAGAAAATTCACCCACCGGGATGCTGTGCTGATAGGGTCAGCTACGAATGTGCTTCTTACAAAATGAAGTATTAGACTGTCTCAACAGGGCTAAATATTTCCAAAAATAAGCCTTAAACACTGCCATAAACACACAGGTAATAGATTCTCTCTACCATTTTCAGTCTACCTCTGCAGTTTCAAAACTCAAGATTTAAAGGTAGAAACGAGAAACTTCTGGATGAAGACAAACTTAATGGGAAACGGCTATACCATGTGGCAAGGTACAATTCACCCATTCACATAACTGGAAACAATCCGGGGCTGGAAGAGATTAAGCCAGTCTAGTCTGGATGCTAAGTCTCAGGTTAATATGCACATCCCCCACTCTCTTAGAAAGCTACACCAATCACATGGCGCTGTGTCAGGACCATATTCTGCTTTCACTTTTATGTTTTCTCAATACTAGAGACTGAACTCAGGGCCTCTGTATTCCCTTTCCTTTGCTTCTCTTCCCTTCCCTCTTGTTTCTCTCTCTCTCTCTCTCTCTCTCTCTCTCTCTCTCTCTGTCTCTGTCTCTGTCTCTGTCTCTGTCTCTGTCTCTGTCTCTCTGTCTCCCTGCTTGCTTGCTTCTTTTTGATACAGGCCCTTGCTAAGCATCTTATCTACATTGCCCAGACCAGGGCCTATATTTGTCCTGCCTCAGCCTCCCTCTATGTTCCCCACCATACCCAGCTATCCATCTTGCAGTGAGAAGTTGCAAATATGCTGCACTCTGAGGTTTTCTGAACAGAAGTTACTAAAATGTTCAGTTTGGGTTCCTTCTGCTTGACCTCCCTCTACAAGCACCCAGGTAACAGAAAGTGGTTTGCAGTTTTCACAACATATGAGATGGCTGATATTTCAGTTAGCATTTTAGCAATGTGGTTTTTGCAAGAACTCAGTTTTCATGTGTATTTGCAGAGTGAGCAACCCTACTTTCCTACACAGATGTCCCAAATGCAAAATACATCTAAAGGTCAGCATGCTAAAGAGACACAAACCCACGTTCCAATATTGTCTCCTAAGTTCAGAGACAACTTTTGAAGTCAACAATTTTTATGCTTTCACAGCAGGCAAAGGAGTTATCAAAGTAAAATTATTTAATCCTAAAGTTAAGTCTGCAAATGTATTTGGTAACAGGGAAAATGTTTTTCTAATTTAAAGGGAAAATTTTGCATTGTGATTTCTCTTCCTGAGGAACTTTCTTGGATTAAGGCAGAACACAGAGGTACCAGTCCTTTGATGCCTACACTAAAAACGTGCCTGGGCTAAAGATAAAAGGAGGGTTCTTTAATTTCTGTTTATGGAAGAAGGACTCATTCGTTTGTTGGCTTAGCTAATACTTCATTATGCCCCAGAGGCGTACAGGGGTAAGATTCACCTGGGTCTCATTTTAATAGATCACGGAGTCTCACCCCCACTTTCCAGAGGTTCCAAGGAGGTGTGACTCTGACACTCCTTGGGCGCTTGGGAACTACTCTGAACACATCATGCCTAGCTCGGCTGTTTGTGCCTCACTGCCTCCCCCTTTCTCTCAAGGTGGGAAGGAATGGTCTATGGCAAATCACAACACCAAAAGAAAGCAGCTTACAAATGCAACTATTTTGAATGTCTCAGGATTGTTGCATTATTTTGCTACTGAGGGCTAAACTTTCTTTTGGATTGAGCTTTCAGTCTGCAAAACTGTCACTGAAGCTGAGTCACTTCTCTCTGGGCATGCCTATGTGCGTAGGAGTGTCATCTGCACACATATCTTTGTGCATCGGTCTGTTTATCCCATCAGGCTCCAGTTAGTGTGTTCTAAAAAGCCCACTGGGAAGTCAGTGGACATCAAGTTGATTAAGTGATGTGAAGAAACTTAAGTGATGGGAAACTTCTAAAATTTGTCCAATTCCAAAATGACCATATGTTACAGGATCTGATACTCTAGTGCAGAAACAGAGAGTATGATCTGGCGGTGGCCAAACCTACTATTGTGAGAGAAGAGTGGTTGATACATTATTTCTCCCTAATATTTAAAGGGAATTTTTTTTTCAGTACTGGGGAATGAACTCAGGACCTTGGGCTTTTCATGCAAGTGCTTATTCTACTGAGCTATCTCCCTAACCCCTTTAAAGGGGATTTACCATTTATATTTTGTTTTAAATATACTTTATGTTTTAAATATATGACACTTTAATATTTTCAATTAAAAAAATGCAAACACTCTTCATAAGTGATGGAGTAATTTATAAATTCTCTAATAGATGGGATTCCATATGGTCTTTGAAAATTTTTATAATTTCTCAAGTTTTTCCAGCTGCCAATAATTCAATTGTGTACATTCTAGGAAATTAATTAAAACTACAAACAATAAAATCCAAGAACTACATCCTAGGCTTGAGACTGCACAGTTACTGCAGACTTCCTAAATCCTCAAGGTACTACATAACCTAGTTTTTAGGCTGTCACCCTTCAATATCACCCTCGATATGTCACCTTCGATATGTCACCCTTCTATAAAAGCAATGATGTTAGGTTTTGGTTGATTCTATTTTGGTGTCTCATGCTTCTTACCGGTTGCCAGGTATCTCCATCAGCATATGTTAGCACTAGTTGTAATTCTCTAGACAGGGGCTGTTTTGCTACATCCAAATAATCTTATCAATATCCAGAAATAGTTCAAAGAAATGATTAAAATCATTTTTGAACTTTCGCTTATTCGATACTTCAACTGAGAAATAGAACCAGCCGAGTGATTGCGGAAGGCTACTGATCACCAAGAGTCTCCGTGTTAAAACACAGGAAAATCTGTCAGTGATCGCAGCTCTTCAGTTTTTACGTATTGGCATATTTTTCAAACAGCTTTCTATGTAAACACCAGAAAGACACCATCAGCACATCCCCAGTTTCACAGGGCCACCAAAATAACCCAGAGGGAAAACACAGCAGGGTCATAGCGGGTCTCTGGGCTTATTATAGGCTCTGCATTTGCTCATAATAGCATGGTGACAGACAGCAAACTGGCCTCGGTGTTTAACTAAGATTTAGAAAGAAGATAAATCTTAGAAGCAGGCACTAGAATTACAAACATGTCCCCCTCCCTTAAATATAAAACCTTAAAGAAAGCCAATAACGCTGTGCTCTTAAGCAATGCAGGCATACATGTGGCCTTCTATTTTGGAAATGTATAAAACCCAGCTATATTTATCTGCAGCCTTAGCCTATATTACGTGCCTGAGCGCATTACATATGGATAAAGTCAGCAATAACACTCCTTAGAGCTCTCAACTCACTCATGGATACTGCAGATCCACAGTTTCTTAATGTTATAAACCCACCTAATTTTGTTAAGGATATCAATTCCAGACTGCTCCAACAGGACATTCTTAACAAAGGTGCGTGGAATGGAAATCTTTTCGGTGCTGGCGTGAATCAAGTCTTGTCGAATGTGGGCTTTTCTCATCACATTGGGACAAAGGCTCTCGGCAGCATCAACCATGGATTCAAGCAGAGCCTGCAATGCAGCACAGAGGAGGGGAACAATGGTGACACTGCATGGGAGATGCCACCATAAAACTGCGAGATGGTAATATATGACACCTGGCACCACCAGAGATCCAAAGCTGTGCACGGTGACCTGGGGCTGCTGCATGACTGTGACCTCAGGTAGCCACTTTAAATCAGATGCTGGCACTTGCAGCATGACAGCGCAACAGCCTAACAAAGCCACGAATGAGCAGATTAAAAAACACAAGCCTTTCTACACCAACTGTCCAAACCAGACTGTTCTTCCTTATACTAGAAAATAAACTTACAGGTAGGAACTCCAGACCTACAAAAAGACCTAAATACACACACACACACACACACAGGATTCGAATGCTTGTGATGTTTTTCAAGTGACAGAAATCCTGAATTATGTCAAATCATTCAACAGCTCTCTCAAAACATCAGGAGCTGACCAATCAAAGCAACTACCACCAATTTTTGTTCCTTTAAAAGAAAAGCTTCAGCGTTATGTAAAACAATAATTGTAACAACAGTAAACAACATGAATAATAATCAATGAAGACATACAGAGCACTCAATAAACATTAACAGTGATAGTCATAATGCATTCATATATCTTTTTTTGTTTGGTACTGGGGATTGAAACCAGAATGTTGCACCTGCCAGAGGTGCTTACGCCACTGAGCTATAACCCCAGCCCCATATAGCACTTTAGAATCCGAAAAACTTTCCTGCACATTTCATTCCTCCAGTATCTGTGACGACAAGCACAGCAGCCATACATGTGATCAACACTTTACAGTCCAAGAATGCAAGCAAAGGGACATTAGACCATGTGCCTGAAAGGACCACACAGCCGGCATCTGTGGACAGACACCAGCGCCAGCGTCGGACCTACGTCTGAACCCCAGCTGAGCGTTGCCGGGCAAAGTTACTAACTTCATCATTTTACTTTCCTTGCCTACAAAAATGGCAGTAAAAAGAAAAAAGAGCTCGCTTCATAGGACTATTAAGGAGTAAATACTACTAAAGTCAAATGTCTAGCACATGATATTAATGAATAACAGCTATTAATCTGGACTACCAGCCCAGCACTCCTGAGAAAGAGGACCTCCGGCATCAGCACTGTTTTAATTTTCTGTCCTGTTTGTCAGCCTACAAGTTACTTTCTGAATAATCCTCCTGCATGAGGTGATTCATGCAGTCAGGTTGAATGTCACAGGGAAAGTGGTAAGGCCTGGCCTGCCAAGCAATGGCCGGGGAATAAACTGGGGAGGACAGGAAATAATCTCTGTGGTTTTCTGAGTCTCACGTTCAAAATCAACAACATCTAGGATCTCTTTCTCCTCTCAGGCCATGAATGCATGCCTTGGGCCCTATCAAGTGGAATTTTAATCTGCCTAACACACTTAATTCAAATATTTTGCAGTAGGCTCCCTACAACCTCTTTACTAACAAACATGATGATACAGCATGCTATACAAAGTAAAATTATCCACAGACTCTTATAATCTGCCTAATAGCTCTGTAAATCAAGGTAGATTTGAACATCTCCATTTTGTAGATGGGAAATCTGCAGTTCAGAGAAAACAAGGGACCTGCTAGGGTCATGCAGATGGTTTCTGGAATTAGTGAGATGGGAACTTGGATCTTCAGCTTCCTCTGCTGGCACCAGTCTTTCACACCTGGCCGAAGACCTCAAAGCATGCTCTTGTCCTCTCCGCTTCGTCCCCTATAGTTTCCTGCATCAACTGCACCTAAGGCTGCCAGGGCACTGAGTAGTGGCAGGACCTGGAGAAAGGGTCACAGAACACAACTGTAATGAAACTCCTAGGTGGGTGTGGTGCAGCACGCCTGCACTCCCAGCACTGGGGAAGCTGAGGTGGGAGGATCACCGTAAGTTGGAGGCCAGAAGGGCTACACAAGCAAGCTCAAAGCCAACTTGCACTACACAGTGAGATCCTGCCTCCAAACAAACGGAAGCCCCTGACCAGTCTTCATGCACAGCCTCTGGCCCAGGGCTTTAGACACGCCCCCTCCTTAGGACCTCCATACTCTGGATCCTGTCACCTACACCCTGCCTGTAGGTGACACTCATTCTAGCACCACATTCCAGCAAGTCTACGGCACCACAAGGGTGTTCAGCTGCACTGTCACCAACCCTTGCCAGATACCATGACAAGCAAAGTTCCTCTAGGAATGCAGTAGGGCAGCTTTAAATCCCACACTTCTGATGGTTTTAGACACCAACAACATCGTTCCATAGAGTCAATGCTTCACTTTTCTGCATCGGGCATTTTCTCAGCTTTTTTCTTGGAGCACAGACCTTTCTTTGGTAACTTTTCCTCTATTCCGAAGTATACACTTATTCAAATTTTTTACTGTTATTCAGAGAAAGTAAACTATCCCAGTTTTTGATTGGATGAAAATGTCACCACATCCTCATTCTTAAATATTAAGTCCACTGGTTTGGAATTCTGAACAGACACTTCCTATCTGCTCAGAGGTTTGCAGATGCAGTATCATTGCCTCCTGGCTTCTACTAAATGCCACAAAGTGAGTGGCCCGTCTTCGGTGTGAGATTTTCTTAATAAAAAACCCTGCCTTTTCCTTCAACTGCCTCTTTGTTTTCATGTTCTTCCATATTCATGATGACGGTTCTAGATGTGGATCGCTTTGGATCTGCTGGTCTTCCTGAACTGGAAGAGGCTGGATTATCAGTCCTTGAGAATTTAGCCAGCAACTCTTTGAATTCTTTTTTCCTTTATTTTGGGAATCTAAAGTAGAATTAATCAAAATTCAGAAAACAAATCATGGTGGTACATTCATTCAACGGAATCCCATGTAGCTACCAAAACCATCATGATTTATAACAATTTGAACTGCATTTGAGACACTAACAAAAATAAAAGGTTACTAATCTAGAAGTACAATACAATCACATAAATGTAAAACTGTGTAAAGGGCACAGGACACCTGAAAACTCATTAAGCTATAATAGTGGCGTAATCTCTAGGATTTTAGGTGATTTTTACTCTATACATACTTGCTAAAACATTTCACAAAGAGTGTTGCTTTTAATAGAAAAAGGCAACAAAGTTGATGTGATTTTAAATATGTAAGAAGGTATCCACTGTCTGTACTTTATCCTTCATGAAGGACACAAACGCTGTTCAGTACCAAATGGTTTAGTGGGACTCTCATCAACCAACAGGTCCTTTTCTAATCTTCATCTCAGGTCAACATGAATTCAAAATAACAACAGGTACATAGAAGCGACACAAAAGCATCTCTGTTTTATTAAAGGAAAACAGGGACATAAACACCTATAGTCCAACACATTGTGCCCACCATTAACTTAATTTTCATAGAGACAACTGTCATAGTGCATTGTCACGATGAGTTGTACAACAAATCCCTATGGTGATACAGCAGTTGTGTCCCTGGAAGAAAACAGACCAAATAACTATAGAAACTCAGTGGGGCCAGGGAGATGGCTCAGTAGAATAAGCGCTTCCTTGGCAGGCACAAGGGCCTGAGTTCAATCCCCAGTTCCTCAAAAAAAAAAAACCCAAAACCCAAAAAACTATAGAAACTCAGACAAGGAGTTTTTATGGCAACCTTGAGAGACAAGGCTAGAAATATAAAAAACTTTTTTTTTTTTTAATTTTTTTTACATTTATTTATTTATTTATTTTGTGTGTGTGTGTGTGTGTGTGTGTGTGCGCGCGTGTGTGTGTCCAGCTCAGCCCACCAGGGGGCGGGGCTGGCTGGCATGTGGTGCTGGGGGATTAAACAGTGGTCCCTGTGGTTTGCTAAGCTTGTTCCAAGTAGGTGCTTTAGACCACTGAGCCATCTCGCCAGCCCCATGAAAAACTTTTTAAATGTGAATTTTCTCTGGTATAATTATATTTTGAAATTACCTTAAGAAAACATGGGTCTTGGCTTATGCCATCCACCACTAAAACAGCGGATTGTTTCTAGACTTTTCTGCAGTCAGTACATCGAGAACAGGTCTTTGATATTTTTGGTGTCCTGCAACTGCATCCTAAATATTTCTCCTAGCCTTTCAACTGAAGTCTTTTCAAGGGCGGCTGTGCATCTGCCTAGTGTGAGAGTAGGAGCCTATCATCTTGCCCAGACTCTCAATCAAATGCAGTAACAGACGCCTGCTTTGTTTTTTTTCTTCCTGAAGTAACTATTCTTATGTCATCTAAGGAGAAGTCAACCAGTCTTTTATCTGTCAGATGAAGAATACTTAAAGATTTACTATAAAAAATTAAAATTCACTTGAACTCATTTTAGAAGAAGCTATTCTAAAACCCAGAAACAAAGCTGGAGCAGATAGTACTCAATTTTTGGTACACATGCACCAACACAGAAAGTGTATGTGTGCACACATACGTACACACCTTTGCAAAACACAGGCAGCTGTGTCCTGAAGTGCTATCGTTTATAGTCCAATCAACAATTTCACTTGCAAAGTAACAAAACCACGGACCTTTAGTTGTTCATCTACAACTCTCGTAACTTCTCCCGCCATCGATTCCAGCGTTTCCTGAATGGGATTGGATAACAACCCACTGGCTCCTGCCCAAGACGCACCACCAACGTGGTACAGATTTGGTAGCAACTGTAAGAGAAATAAAACATGACAGCAATAAAAAATCACTGTAATATGAACCGGGCAAATCTGTTCTATTGTTTCTCTACTGGGGCTAACATTTCAGTAAGTACTAAATCATTGCAGAGCTAAGGAAAAGGTGCAGAACTATTATTAGGGATAACTATTCTTGGTTGCAGACTCTTTGTACAGACTGGTAAGCTGAGGTCCAAACTCCTTAGGTGTATTATTTTTATCCAGTGAATCCTAGTAAACCTGAGAAATACTATGTAGGATTAGGAAGCCTCCACACTGACCCTCTTGTTACTCAATGGTATCGAAACCACACAGCAGTGTATCACCCCTGTGTGACTTCGTGTTCTTATCTGAGCCCTCACAGCTGAGTTATTTTTATTCACACTTTGGTCACCAAAAATGTAGGTTCTGCCACCTAAGGCAGGTTTCTAATTCTTCACAGATACCAACGATGTATCTTACAATTTGATTCAGTTGTGAGACTCTGTCTATCATTAGCTTCAGATTCTGCAAGGTTAGAGCTCAGTCTTACAAAAATTCCCCAAATTCCAATGCCAGTCCCAGGTCCCCACTGGCACTTCTGGACAATCAATATAAACACCAGGGGTCCCTGCAGCCCACCCATCAAGTTCAAGGAATTGCCAGAGTGAGCCACAGAACTCAGGAAAGCACTTTGCTTACTACTGCTGGTTTATTAAAAAGGGCAGAGCAGGGGACTTATTGGCCTGGAGGTAATAATTTTAAATGAGCTGTTGTTCACTGAAACTATGCAATAGCTGTTCAGGGCCCAATTTTACTCTTTGTAAGTCATGCTGGCCCTCTGCTTTGTATTCTACATTTTAAAAAATTTTGGTAATCAGCAAAGGTATAGAAAGACAGGCTAATTCAGATCAGTATGTCACAAGCTAATAATCTTGGAATTTGAGAGAGACATAAAGGAAGTTGGAACTAGTTTCTAAACTTTAAATGAGAAAGACTCGTTTTAGTTCACAAGACTCATGCAAAGCTTGAGATGTGAAACTCACCGTCTTAGAGTTCTTTGCATCACGCATGAGCCGTTCTGCTGATTTTAAATCTTCTTGGATAGTATCTCCCCCGCAGTTTCGCAAAGAGTTGAGATGATCTTGTACTTTCACACATATTCTGTCAATCATCTGCTCCAAAACACAGCAGCATCCAAGGCAGGCCAGGTGATATTCACATAGAAGGAAACACAGAGCAAAAGAATGGTAAAAATTTCAGAAAATGAAATGCATGAGGCCGAGAGCTTCTTTATGGACGCTGAGAGAATGCAGCTGATAGCCAATTATTAATTTAAGTTTTCATGCAAGAAGCTCTGATAACATTAACTCCAGAGGAAAGATTGAAAGTAGCTGGTCCTTTGCCTACCTTAAAGCAGGCAGCATGTAGAGCAAAAATGAACCCCTCTTGATGATTTGAAGCTGGCAGCTAGTTACTCAGGAACATTTTGCTAGACAGTAACTCTCCATCATTAACCTGAGTGCTCTCTGGGTGTGAGACAAGGGCCAGCTGCCCAGGGACCAGACATGAAATGTGCAATGCAGAGACAGCAGAAATGGGGACAAAATGATGCCAGTCACCAACCAATCAGTCTAGGTACTACAGAACTCTGCAAATGGGCAGTTCTTAGATCAAGGAGATCATGTCAAGTTTTGTTTTCCATAAACAGAAGAGTCATCAAGACACAGATGCAAGTGGAGGTCTTACTATATCAATATAGGTAATAGTAAAATTGACAACAGCTACTGTGCTTCCCTGCAAATTAGACCTAACTGGAAAACAAGCTTTAGCATGAGCTTAGAGGATCCTTGTAATTTAAGCCTCATTCTCCAAATAAAAATAAATCAGACACATACATTTAGTAGTCCACTGAAGCACCTGACAGGTGTATTAAATAACTAAATAATATTAATATACAATTAAACACAAAAACTAACATTACTGACATTAATACTTAAATATATGATAGTATAAATTATAATTAAATATTTGTAAGTACTTAAGGTGCTTTTGGATGAGAGGCAAATGGTTATGTGAACAGATGAACTCAGGACTTATTGCTAAATGACCAATCTGGGTCCAGACACAAGATACACATAAGAGTCACACTTGGTAGTGTGTCTACTCTGAATCTCCATAATTTGCTATGTTGTGTGTTGCAATGGTGCAGTACGAGCAGCCTACATGGGTAAGAAGTGCTCAGTTAAAGAGAGCTCTACTGCTAGATGTAGAGGCTGCAGTCAGTATTTCTACAGGAAAAGGAGTCACAAAAAATTCAAACTGGCAACGAAGTACTACTCAGCTATTAAGAAAGATAAACTCGTGGCTGTTACAGGTAAATGGATACAACTAGAGACCATTATTGGTAAAAGAAAACCAGCCTTGCATGTGTAAACACTGTACTGTCTCCCTAGAGAAAGAAACAGAAAGAGTAAATAAGATCCAAAAGGTACAACAGATACAGTGAAAGGGAAAGACACTGCTCAAAAGAAAAGAACAACTGTGATGGGGAGAAAAAAAAAAAAAAAGAAGGGGAATAAAAAAGAAATGCATATATACACAAGATAGTTAAGACAACTGTACTACCAATTTCAATTAGTTCATTGAAAGAAATAGTGCTTATATTGGTTGATCAATTTTGCATGCCTGTATCTGGTAATCTGAGAAACTACTTTGAAGATAACAGTTATGCAATATAATAACCATTGTTAATGTCCTATCATTTTGTTTTGAAATTCTGTACTGTTTTTCTCTTTAAAAAAAAAATAAAAACTGAAACTGGTATTCGCTTGGAGTTATGACAATGTTCCAGAAGATGACATGACTGTATTTGAACTAATGTAGACTTTTCTACATAAACAAATGTAGATTGTTGTATGTGAAAAAAAAATAAGGCACCCCCTGAAAGCCCCATGGTGTCTTTTAGAAAGTCAATAGAACATGTCTTATTTTTGGAGGAAATATGACAGTTTCTACTCCAATAAAATCTCTTTCTTGGGCTATAACTGAATGTTAAGACTGCTCTTCTGCATTTGGACCTTTACAGGGAAGCGTGAACAGCTGGGATTTGAATGTTTTGTGCCTGCCAAGACTCCTGTCGTGGCTCAGGTCCTCGTGTAGCAGGGTGGGAAACTGTGGATGGGCTCGCAACAGTGCCTGGGTCCTGGCGACTGACCCTTCCCAAACCAGGGCCTTTCTTGAGTGAACCTGTTCTCCCTGGTCCCCAGGTATGGATGAGTTTCTATGAGAGCAGGTTGTTACAAACAGAGGCCAAGTCTGGGTATGTCTGTTGCACACACACCCGATGGCTTTCTCCTCTGACCTTGAGCTGAAGCAGCACAAAGCTCTCACCTGGTATCACACTCCCGTTCCTCCCAGCCTCTGGGAGCGAGAGCCAAGCTGAACTTCTAGTCTTAATAATTCACCCAGCTTTATGTATTCTGTTACAGTAAAAGGAAATGGACTAAGGAAATAAAAAGGACCTAAGTCTGAAGAAAAACAAAATCTAGTGTGGCTTAAAATTTCTAATACTTTTCTGCAGAATATGGTACCTACTTGCCTAATGTTCCCATGTCACAGTTTCTCCAAATAAACTTTATGATTACATGATGCTCTGCATATTTTTTTAACAATCTTAAATGGTACAATAAGTACTGTGAAAGGAAAAGAAATTCCTCAAAGGGTGGAAAGAACTGGGATAAAGGAAACCAGAAAAGAAATGGGAAAAAATACATGGATATACACAGCATAGTTTGGATAATTGTACTGCTGATTTCTACTGGTCTATTGAAAGGAACAGTGCTTATCTTCTTCTTTTTAATATTTTTAAATTGAATGCTTATATCAGGCAATCTGAACAACTAATGCGAAGACCAACAATATGCAATGTAACAACCATTACGGGGGGCGGGGGTGGCTAAGAAGAATAATAAGCACTTGCCTGGCAAGTACAAGGGCCTGAGTTCAATCCCCACTTCTGCCAAAATAAAATAATCATTACTGAATTCCTGTCATCTTGTCTAGTGAAATTCTGCATCATTTCTAATGGTTTTTTTTTCCAAAGTTTTATTGATAAACAGATAGCAATGAGACAGTTTCAAATCAAATCAGAAGTACAGTTTCAACAAATAATACACTGCATATATTCTTCTTAGTGCTTAATTGCTGTACAAGATGCGGACTTGTGATCCTATTTACA